TTTAATATATGGGTTGTGACCTACTCATATGTTTTTATAGTAAATTTAAGTATTGAACTGGTATCGAAGTGGTATTGAAGTGGTATCATTAGGAGCCCTAGAGAGGAGCTTAAGAAAGATGAGAGAAGAGTTTCAAAAACCTATACCAGTCTTTTCTAGAGTCTTGAATCTCTGGAGAAAGAGAGGGGAGTACTTTTTCTACTGGTTCTTTTTCTTAATAAAGTTTTCTTGCCTTTAACTTTGTAGGTAGAAGTTTCTTATATTTACTCGCAGAAATACAAGAAGTTTATATCAAAGAAAGAAAGAAACAAGTGGGAGAGGCTATGTTTCTTGATATGTGTGTTGTTAATGAAAGTGTATAGACCTTATTACAAAGAAATATAAAAATTTCCTTGGAACATCTGTTTTTATGTTGGCAAGGGAATCAGCAGAAAGAGTTTTTTTTAAATTGCTAAACAAGTTATATTATTACAAGAATGATATTAGTTTAATACATTTTTTAAAGTTTTTTTATTTAATAATTAACAAGTGAAAAAAATATTGATTAAAATTAAATAAAATAAAGTATAGTTCAGTTTATATATTTAAACATAAAAAAAAATTTGATTAGAAAAGTTAGATAAATACTTTTGCTTATTTTGTTCTACTATTATAAGATTTGCTTTTAGCAATTATTATAATACTAATCCAATAATTATTATATTATTATACTGGAGATTATAGTTTTAATACTTGTTGAATTAATATATAAATCAACTTTTTATAAGAGATAATATTTAATATATTATAATATCAAATATTATTTTTATATTGATTTAATTAACTTTATCTGAAGTTAAATTATTATTTTATAATTTGATTTGTGAAATATTAATTACTATACTATGAAACTATTATAAATAAAAAAAAGATTACATATATATAAACCATTTTTAATTAAATATAATAATTTTTATATAATTTATTATTTTTTAATAATATATATTTTATTAAATAAAAAATTATAAAAATTTATATTTAAACATTTTAATATATTCTGAATCAAATTTATTAATATCAAATTATTTAAAAAAAAACATTAAATGTAATAATCAAATAAATATTAACTAAGTTATTATATCAAATTAAAAACTCAATACTATATTATAATTTATATTTAAAAGTATTTTATAAAATAATAAATTTTTTTATATTAAATTCATTACAGTAATTCTTATACGATACAGTATTATAATTTAAATTTTTTCAAAAACCAAAAACAATCAAGCTAACACTAAAATACAAAAGAAAAAATATTATTATTATTATTTAAAAAAATTTTTTTTATTATTAATCATTGATTTTTATTATGATATATCCAATAAACAATTATATATTTACACTTCATTATCGCCAATACAAAATAATTTAAAAAATATAACTGTAATATACAATTATACCTCAAATCAATTAATATTAATTAATTTAAATCTATTTGATTAAGGTTTAATGCAGTATTTTGAAAAATCGTTACATATAGTTACTATCCAAATCGGAAAATAAATCTCAAAAAGGTTTTGTTTAAAAAAATACTAAAACTGTATAATGTACAGTGTAATGATTAACGTTAATTTATTTAATATTACTATAGTATGAACGATCATAAAAAACATGATACTGGGTCTAGTAAAAAGCAAATTAGCCTCATTTGTATAATTTATGACAATTTTATGATATCATTTTTTCATTCCATCTAATAAATACTAAACGAGCATTTTCTCTAACGATTTCGCAAGAAAAATGTATGTTTGTAAAATTCGACCTTTTTCATCAAGATCATTATTCACTAGAGTTCTTTATTCTACCACTTCTACCACCAACACCGCTAACTCTTCTAATAATAAAAGTAACGAACAAAGCACGAAGAATAAATCCAACAAAAAACCCAACACTGATACCAAACCTTACAATAGAACAGAACAAAGTGTTTCTGGGACCACAAATCAAATTGCAAATACCGAAACTGCCTATGATAGGGACAATGTGCAACCTGAAGAAGAAATCGAAAAAATGAAAAAACATAATAAAAAGGTTAGTTCTAAGTTTTTTTTTATTAAATAAGAAATTTTTGACTTGAAATACTATGCTTATAAAACCAATCACGTAGGATGCGCTGGAGTGGAGCGCCGCCAACAAACAAGTAAGCGAGACTACCAAAAAAAGGTCTTCTCAACCCGTCGGTAACTCTTAACCATTGAGGAAACGAAATTTATAAAAATTAAAAAAAATTCGAGTTTTGCGATTTATTGCTTACACAACAATGTTAACAAACATTATTACGATATCATGTTGCGATCCTTATATTATGTAAAAGCGTAACGAAGTAATATTACAATAAACATTATAATATACTGGTGTTCGTTTAAAGCTCCATTATCCAGTACTTTTTTTATTCAAGGTATTCAAATAATTAAAAACGAATAAAAAAAATTATAATGATGAATGCGGTGTCTTTTATTTTTCAGGTAACGGAAGAAGAGTAGGATTACTACGGTCCTTTTTTTTTATAGATTATTTATATAATTAAATTGAGAGATATCCATCATAAATTTTTTATAGATTAATTAAAAATTAAAATTAATCTAATTTTTTGATCAAAAAAAAATTATTTAAAAAACTCAAGAGTCTATTTATTTTAACAAATATATTAAAAAACATACATGCATTTGTTAAATCAAAAGGGTTTTTTTTTACAGTATTATAATTTTATAAATTTAAATGTACTTGAATGAATTAATAATAAATACAATAACCTAGAATTTCACAACATAATTTTGAAAATTATATGGTTTTAATATTTTTTTTGTATTATATATTTTTTGATTGTATATTTAATAATTTTGAAATTATTAATTATTTTATTAACAAATTATTTTTCTATAATTTATATTTTAAAATTGTATTAATTTATATACAGTATATTTTTAAATGTTATTGCATAAAATTTATTTTAAAAAATAATATTATTATTATTATTTAATTTTTAAATACAAAATAAAATAAATCGAAATAACAATTCTTATATTGCACATGTATGATTAATTAAAATAAAAAGTTTGGTAACTTGTTTATAATAATATAACGTATACTGTAAATTGTGACAAATATCGATGTATTTGTTTCTAAACAATTTGATGATAAATAAATAATTAATTACATACATATTTATTTATTTATTTATTTATTTATTTATTAAATAAATTATTATTGATTATTTTTATATCAATCTATTTCCTTAAATATAATTTGATGTACAATTTTTGCATAATAGAAATTAATTGTAAAAAAATATTCTTAAAAATTTTGTGATAACTACAAAATAAAATTCAATAAAAATTGAAGAAAATTTTTTATCTAATTACTGTACAATAAAATAATTTTTATACCATTGAAATTTTTAAATATATTATATTTGAAAATTAATTGATACTAAATGTAAAGTTATGTCTTCAAAAAGCTTTTTCTCACATTGTATTTGGACTTATATATAAGACGAAGTATTTTACAAAATTCTTATCAATTCAGAAATCATAAATGAGAATTGTTAAATGATATCAAACCCGTTTGTTAACGCTTTTTCGAAAAACATTTTTTCACTTCGTCGAGTACAGAATTTCATGATATCAATCATTATTAGTTTAAAAATTTTTTAAATATAAAAAAAAATTTTTTTGTTACATATGCAGTATATGACGTAATTTGTTTATCATTAACCCTATTGGCAATATGAAAAACAAAGAATTGTCCAATTAGATTAAAATACAGTAATTGAATTGAATCCGTACATCGATGATTGTTAGATTTTTGTTGATTCGATTCACCTGGTCTTCGATACTGTATTTGGGTAATGGATTGTCTTTGAAAGCGATGAAAGATGCAAATTTGGGATCATAATTACAGGACCCCAAAATTCCTGCCCGTTTTCAAAACAAAGTCTGAGACCCTGAATGATAAGCATAATGTTAAAATTACTATAATAACATTTTGCAATGCGGGCGGCTCCCTGTGGTTTAACAAACTGATAACTTAAACGTTATCTCAAACATACGTTTTCGGAAAAGCTTTAATTTCGAACAAAATCGGACTTTACCTAATTAGGATGGTCACCCGATGCTGTATTTTTGAATTCGTAAACATTAATTAAATGCAAATTAGGAAAAAATTGATCTTATTTAACCATATGCATCTATTAATGCTACTGTAACAATAGAGGGTCGTTCGGAAAAAGTTTATGATCAGTGGTTCTTCCATTAGTTATACACCGAATACGTTGCACATAGCATTCTTAGGTAACAGCAATAAATCTAGCGATTTTTTTTTTTTAGGCGCTTTGCCCATCTCTCGTGGCATTCGATATATTTAACGAAAAAACCGAAAAAGAACTTATGGCTTCCTACGTAAAAGAGAAACTTGGGTTTCTATTAACGAAAAGATTTTTACTTATAACAATTCTTGGCCAGTTTCTTGCATTTTGTATTACTACTACTATTGTGACAAGCACAAAATTGTTACAAGAAAATGCATCCTTCCCTGTAACGCAATCCGCTCTAACGTACTTTACTCTATTTCTCATCTACACGCCTATAACCATAAAACAACTTGGGTGGCGTGGATATGTTGAAATGATAAAAAATAATGGTTTAAAATGTAAGTAATTATTTGTTATCGCATTATGTTTCACGCAACTATTAACCATAAATTATGCTTTTAAAATAGACATCGTATTGTCGATTATTGATGTCGAGGGAAATTATTTCGTTGTATTGGCTTATAATTATACCTCACCATTGTCCATTACGTTACTTGATGCATGGGCCATATTCGTGGTGGTTATCTTGGCAATAGTATTTTTAAAAGTAAAATATCACTGGAGTCAATATTTGGGGGTTTTTATATGTCTTGTGGGTATCGCCTTAGTGTTCGGCGGTGATTTTATGTCTGGAAATAAGGGTGACTTTAGTCAAGGTAATTTTTTTGAATCAATTTCGTATCAATTTATTGTTTTTTTGTCATACTTTATTTAAATTTGTCCGGTTGGAATTTTAGCTACTAGTCCCGTAAGAGGCGACTTCCTATGTTTGATCGGCGCGACGTTCTATGGTCTATCAAATACATTTGAAGAATATTATGTAAGAAAGAGGCCGTTTTACGAAGTGGTCGGTCAAATGGGACTCTGGGGTACAATTATTAGTGTGCTTCAATTGTAAGTTATTCCCACAATTTTATAACCATTAGCTAAAAAATACTTGCAATTCTTTTTCATTTAAGCAAATTGATCACTTTTTTTTTTTCTCAACAGAACTGCGCTCGAAATTGACGCATTGGAAGCTACACCTTGGAATGGGGCGATAGGTAACCTAAAAAAATTATTCCTTATTCGGAACTTTAAAATCTGATGAGTCATTACTGATTATTGCACATATGTTATTAATTATCAGCCGGGTACCTTATTGCATATAATTTTGCAATGGTCTGTTTATACACTCTTGCCCCTATCCTATTCCGAATGGCTTCCGCGACGTACTTCAATCTTGCATTATTAGCCAGTGACTTTTATACTTTACTATTCAGTTTATATATACTTGATTATAAGGTAACGTGTTAATTTAGCCTACCGTTTCAATATTTTACAGTCTGATTAATTCACATTCTCTCTTTCAAATTTCTCATTTATAAAAGATGACAAGCCTCTATCCAGCTGCATTTGTGTGCACTATCGTAGGTCTGATAACCTACTACATTTACCCCTCGGAACCCCCGAAAGTCGAACAACAAGAAGATTTCACAAAAGAGAATTATACAAGAGATATTGAAAACAATGATCGCGTTCTGGTTACAAATCACGATGCCGTTCTGGATACAAATAACGAAGCCGTTCTGAGGGAAGAGAAAAATTCGGAAAGTATCGAAATTGTTACATGATTATATAAAAAAAAAGAAAGATATGGAAATATTATGGTGTAAGAACAGAATGCTTTCGTATTATGAATGTCTTTCGTTTGTAATGTACAAAATATTATGTACCATTAATATTGTATGTTATATTTAATTAATCAATCAATAATATCACACATTTACTAATGAATTAATCCATGACTCACTGCATTATTCGTTTGTATAAATGTATATTTAAAATCCCAAACACCGTCTAAGTTGTAAGTGCTTTGGACGTGACCTATTCGTAAACTGTGATTTTTGTAATATATAAAATGAGAAAATGAAGAATTCTAGGCTCATTTTACGATAAAAATATTTTCCAAAAAAACAAGGGTTTTTTTAAAAAATTACATTTATTCGAGACAATATTTCTTTCAAGAAATGTGAATATAGAATTACATCGTGTTTTAACAAGCGTTGATATACATCACCAGTAGTGCTGTATCAATCATCTCGACTACTGTAATTATGACTAATCGTAAGTAGGGGCGTTAAAGGTTAAATTAATAAACCATATAAAATAGGAATCATTCATATTTAGATTATATGCAGCGTTATTTTTACAGTACTACTATTTTGTGACATAATACAGTAGTCTTTTTTTTACCATTATACAGTACCGTATATAGTATTGTATTGTATTAGTAAAGCTCAGTAAAAAAATTTACTGTTCGGTAAACAAAAAATATCACATGTTTTTTATTGTTGTGAAGGTCAAACAAAACATGATAAATTATTACATATCGGATATGGGTTGGTACACAGCAAAACCATGCTTTGATTAAAAAAATTGAAATTTTTAGTGGATTATACTCCCAAGAACGTCCTTTATCTGTGATAAAAGTTTGGACATATATTAATATATTATAATTTGGTACAATCTCGTGCGCAGTTTTTTAATCCTATTCCTTTATAGTAAAATAATTAATAAATAGTTAAACTATATAGGCAATACAGTAGTCTTACTCGATATATAAATTTAAATTGATAATCGTCGATATCTCCAAATAAGGATTTTGTCTCAGAGCATGGTTTTGCTGTGTACCAACTCAGATATGATGATATTTAAATTTGATAACCCTGTATATAATATAATACAGTATATACAGTACATTATAAGTAAAAAATTGCATAAAATATATACCGTGATGAGCAATATTTTTTGAACAAATTATTTTTGTTATAAATAGTCAAATTCTTGTTTAAACAATTTAAAATTTTAAAAATATATTTTTTAATAGTTCAAAAATAATTTATTCTAATTTTTACTATCAACTATTCTATTATAATTTTTATTGCAAAATTGATTTTTAAATTAAAAAATTTTCAAAGTTAACATTTTTTTATAAATTTATACATACAAATTTATATATAAATTTGGATTGAAAATATTTTATTTTTATTATACTACAATAAATATTACTATAATAAAGTTGTATATAAATGTTATGTTAAAACAAACAATAAATATAACAATTTTGTTTAAATATATTTTTAAAAAACTATTTGATTTAATATTGTTACAAAAAAACAATGATTAATAATATAACTTGAAATTAAGAAGCAACAATTGTGCATTAAAAAAGTTATCAAAACAAATAATTAATCCTTAGTCTTATTATTTTCTTTATTTTTATTTTTTTTATTTATTTTTTTTGTTATTCTAAAAATATAAAAATAATATAATGAATTGTAAAAAAAAAAAGAAAATAATTAATTAATAAAAATAAGTGTTTATTAAATCAAATTATCATATTTATTATACTGTTTTTAATTAATAAAAATATCACAAATCATATAATCTTATCAAATTTATATTTTTTTTTCACTTTTTACACTTCTTGCTATATCTAAAGTTTTTTTACAAATGTTATAAAATTAAAGATCATATAATAACAAGTAATAAATTCCAATACATAACAATATATATAATATTATTAATTACTTTACTAAAAATACTTATTTTTTAACTATTCTATTATAGAAACTTTATCAAATTCTTATCAAGTTACTATTAAATAATTATAATATTTATAAGAAAATTATTCTAATTCAATTATAGTAGCAGTAACTATTTTACTATTAAATTTCTCTAATTAAATAACAATTGGAAAATTTTGAATTCTTTATTAAGCCATTATCAAATTATTACAAGATTATAGCAATTTGAAATTATATATTAATTTATTTATGAAATTGTATTATAACAATAATTGAGCCAATAATATAGTCATAATTAAATAGTAATGTGATTGCAAATTTATTAAGATTAAATATTAATATAATTACAAGTTTATAATAATTAAGTTATAATTATATAATAATACATTTATAAGTTTATTACAATTAAATAGTAATATAATTATGATCAAATAATAAAATAGTTATTGTTATATATTATATATCTTTTAAATAATATTAAATAAATAATAATTTTTAAATAATATATATTTAATAAATTAAACCTATGGATTCATAACTTAATAATTAAAGTACTATAGATTTGTATTACAAATTACAAGTTCAAATTTATTAGAGGTCAATTAATTTTTCTCCAAAATTATATAAAAATTTATAAACTATTAATTTAATTATATAATAACTAATATTTCTAAATATAAAAAAAATTAATCTATAAAAGAATTATAATATAATTATTATCTGAAATTGGCTAGAATTATTTTTAATATAATCATATTATCAGAAATAATAATAAGAAGAGCAGATTTTAAACTGATAAAATGCCATTAAAGAATTTTTAACAATTGTATTGAAAGATACTAATCAAATACTTAGTTGTATTAAATTTTACAAACTTTGCTATCAGGAGGTCTTTATAAAAAATGAAAGTTATAGATTACTCCAAAAAATCAAAAATTAAAGTTTAGAATACTGTAATTAATAATTTGATAATTGTAATATTTTTAATAAAATTGTTTTATATATTTTTCAAAAATTAATGTTCTAAAAAACTATTAGTTTAAATAATAATTATATATAGTATTAAGTTAGTTATATATAGTTAGTTATATATAAATAAGTCAACTATAGACATATATGTATAATATTTGTTAGGTATAAAAAATTAAATTTAATTGGAATAGTTAATATTTGATAATGTCTTCTATATTATTTTATATACTATTTAGTATATATTTCAATAAAAAATAGACCTGTGGGTCTATAGCACAATGGTTAGTGCTCCGCAGGTCAGATCTCAAGATAATGGTTCAAATCCTCCAGAGGGCTAACGTGGAAACCTCAAACCAGAAGAAATGGATCGGCATCTTCTGATCGCCGTCACAAGATACCAAGTTCAGTTCCTGGTGAAGG